TTTCATTAATTTTATCAATCATATTACGTGATTGTCAAGTTATGACAATGCTTTATGACGATGTCCTGAAACTATTATGTTTAACTAGTTATAGTGTTGAATGAGGATTAACCAGTGGAAAAATAGGTATTGTTGCTTTAGGTGATTCGAAATTATCAGAAATTTGTAACGTTAAAGAATCTGAGACACCTAGTTTAATTATAAATTTTATATCAGAAAGATTCGTTTAGTGTTAATTCTAGTAGGCTACGGAGTTTTGATTTTAAACGTTTGTTTAGCCAACAGCTACCTAGGGATCTAGTTATTTTACTAGTGCCGTTGATAGTACCTAAATTTGTAATCTAATTATCTAAACTATGTCCGCATTTTAGGCTGCTAATAGGATAAACCAATCCATAAACCCAAATAGGTAAAGTAACAACGACTATGATGGGCTTATTGATAAATGTTAAAGGCGATTCAGATGATTTCTAAATTTAGAAGACATGAAGATATAGTGCAACGTATGTACGGGTCAGGTTAACATGCAGGTTCTCGACGTATATGACAATTTAAAATAATGAACATGACCAGAAAAATAATTTTAAAGTTAAGACTGCTTGTGAAACTTTAGGCAGGAATATGATGCGTTATAAACCTTCCATAAAAAGTTACTGCATTAAGCTTAGTGACACTTACAAATATATGGCAAAAGCAACTAGAAAACATATACATGTTAAGTACAAAAAAAATCATCCAGTAAAATAGTTGAACTCGCCTTGATTATTTTTAAAAATTAGCTTATTCAGTGGACGACATATATAACGCCATTCGTGAGTAGTATTGATCCAAAAGCATCCAGAATAAATCATGCAGTATGGCAATTAATTCCAGGGTGCTTGATGCTGTTGAGGATTTCGCCACTCGCTCGGACCAGAACAATCGAATGAACCCAGATAATTGAGTGGTTGTCATTGAACGAACCATCTAAAAATGACCTTATGATTGCAGAAAACTTATAGCTGGAACTCACCGTATGTTTTTGGAGAAGTGTCATCCTTGTTGTTTGGCAATGGAATTCGAGAATATGAAATTAGGCAGGCAGTGGTCGGAAGAAAGATATTACAGGATAGTGCATAGTTTAAAACAGGATGAGGTGTTAAGTGAAGGAACACTGAATATTAGATCCAGGTAACTATTTAGTCCTTGCTGCATTGTTAGTCAATGTATATTTGCGTTATTTACTGGTCATGTTTGCTAGAGCTTGATGCTTAAACAAGCCTATGTCGCTGAAGCATGTAAATGCTATTAAAGCTTGTTAACGAACCATCAAAGCTAATTAGTTGATATAGATGACGAACTTTTATTATCGATTGACGTAGTAAGTTATGTGAACTAATAGATATAACATTACGATAATATATGTGACCTAGTAAGTTATGTGAACTAATAGATATAACATTACGATAATATATGTGACCATTAATCAAAGGACTATTAGAATACTGGGTTTACAAAAATAAAAACCGATTGAGGTTAAGGTGGAAATAAGGATTAACAGTAATGGGTTGCGTTTCTTTAGTTGGGCTCACCAATGTAGAATTATGGTCTACTATGACATTAGTACTGCTCTAATAATAGACCTAATCCTAAAATTGTAGATTTGTCATGATATAACTGCCTAATCTATAAGATCTTACGTGGAAGTCACACCATCGACTTCACCAACTCACTGTATCGTATCAATTGCCAATATGTGATGTAGAACAAGGTTAGGCCAGAGAAGGAACAATATATTTAATATGAATAGAAGATATAAGGTAACATTCGGCAGATACCACGCCTGCATGGCCGAGCCATGCCACTCGATCAACTCCAGTCCATTCAACTCATTCTCCGCGCCTTCTCCATCGTTAGGTATTTATCCGCGTTAAATATTGAATATCTACTTTCTGAGTAGTCTCGTGTTCAGCTTTGTGGATTGTGCGGTTATTGTTCAATGCCACTACACATACATCAAGCTCATAGCAGAGCAATTTTGTTGACCTGATATGAATAAAGACGTGAGGGATTAGGCACACTTCTGTGTGAGCTGCCATAAATCTAAGGTTTTTAGACACAACAAATGTCCCTTAGGCTCATTCGAAAATTCCGACGCTCGTTTCGACCATGTTCATCTGGATTTGGTAGGACGTTTACCAGATTCGAATGGATACTCTTATCTCTTAACCTGCGTAGACCGTTTTACTCGATGACTAGAAGCAGTAACCATCGGGGACATTACTTCTGGAACAGTGGCCCGCGCTTTCGTCGAACTATGGTTAGCGAACGTCGGCTGCCCCTCAACTATCACTACAGACCGTGGACTCCAGTTCGAATATGGACTTTTCTGTTGTCTGGCTTCACTATTAGGAATTACACGATCCCGAGAGACCTCCTGCCACCCACAAGCAAACGGGTCAGTAGAACGCTTTCACCGACAGCCTGAAGCTTCACTATCAACTGCAAAAGTTTCACGGTGGACTGACGCCCTTTCACTCGTCGTACATGATATTCACAATGAAGTAAAAGCTGACATTGGATACACTGCGACTGAACTCGTTTATGGGGTGATAATTCGGCTTCCAGGAGACTTCCCGGATTTGTCGTCCTCTTCAGTGAATATGAATGTAAACTCCTTAGCGAACAGGCTTACATGCGCAAGCATTCAGTTAAACCTGTTTCCACTCGACAACAGTCAGCAGATGTTTTTGTTCAACCTGCCTTGTGATATAGTACACACGTCTTGATGATTGCAATTAATCACTTTGACAACTCGAAACAGTATACGAAGGACCCTTTGAAGTTCTTCTGAGCGAACCTACGTGCTGTTTAATCGATAAGAACGGAACTAACTATAGTAGCATTATCTATTGCATGAAGGTAGCGCATTTAGTCGGAAACTCTACTCACGTCGATTTTCCTTCGGTATAATCGAAAGACAAGTTTTACGTTTACGATACCTCGTCAGATAGCCAACACACATGATCTTTCTTTGGCGGTATCTGAAAACAGACTCAAAGCTCTTAAAGGAGAGTAAGGCTTTCAGAACATCAAAACGATTATTGCACGTAAGACACTAAATAACATATTGTTTCATCTCGATTTTTCTTTCTATTATGTTAAAAGAACAACCAGTTTTAATATGCTCAGATATATTCCAGAAAACAAAATTTCTGTTACTAATATAATTGATTATATGCGAATATTTATATCATTTCGGAAAAAGAAAAAAACGCACTCTGCAAAATTCGTTTTTATGCTGTTGTGTGTTTACGAAACGCATGAATGTGTTTATTTTGCTTTTTTGCCCGCTTCAAAAATCTTGTGGTTATGAACAAATACCACTACAAAGTCATATCATGATTTACTTTTTTTTCTAAATAATGATGTTGGTTACTGAATTCACGAAACCATGTATATTACAAGAAGGAGTGAAAAGTCCCTCATTTGTATATTTGTGAGTCTGCAGATCTGATTCTTATGCACACTCACATGATCATCCTAGATTTCCAATAGACCTTAATAACTCAAGCTGTATGCAACTAATGTGTCGTGTTTAGCTTCATAATAACTCAGTTGTTTTCATTAGAAAATATAACATCAGCACACACTTGTTGTCTACATATCCTCGTATTTCTCAGCTCATGCTCATTGCGTGTACTTGAATGTGCATGTCTATCATTCATTTTCATATCCAAGGTTTGTCTATTTGCCGTATTGTCCATGATCTACTTCGGGTCATGTTAATATTTGTAGTGAATAGTACAGAGAGTTGGTACGTTCGCTTTCTACGGTCTACTTCTCCGCTTCGTTTCCCTTACCTGTATCGGGAAGCGGGTGCATGAAATATCCATGTCGGAAATTCATTCTCGCACTCAACTTATTTAGCTATTTTCTAACGAGAATGAAATCGATATCTCTGTACGATGATAGTCGGCACCTTTATTTCGTTAACATTAACAAGCGATCAAGTTGGGATCAGATCAATAGGTCTCCCTAGGCCAAAGAATTGTGAGGTAAACAAACCCAGTGGCTTCAGATGCCAGAGGAAACCATCAATGATGATTGATTCACCTTTGACTTTTTCAGGATTGTAGTCAGCTAGCATTCGATTCGATTAGCAGGATCTCTTTCCATTGGCTCCCCAGAGAACTTTACAGCAACATTAAGTACGGAAAATTATTGATCAATGTGTAAAGTTATAATAAATCTTTGTTTTTTAGATCATAAAAGTGGAATTCATGTTTTTATTATAGAAGCTGCGTTGAATAACTGCATGGATTGACAGCATAAGTGACTGTTGATTTGACCTGCTTGAAATTATAGACAGAAATTGGGATTTAGTCATATACTGTTAATTTGGATTTCCAGATTGTGAATGATGATAAGAAAGGATGCAAGGCTACAAAAGTGTTATGGAGGATGCTATCCACGGTCTTGACGTCATGCATCCATATAAAGATAAGTGGTCTACATATTCTTCAGGAGTTCGAAGGTTCTGTATTTCTGCCTATCTACCTGGGGGGAATTCGAGGCATTTTCATCAGAATAAATTAACTAAGTATATCATTTTGAAGAGTCTAGCCAACTCTCCATCCGTGATGTTTATAATTAAAAACAGCAAGAACATCAACCTGTAAATAGAAGCTTCCCTCCGTATACAGGTACAACTACACTCATTTTCTGTAATATGGAATTTATTGTTTAAACACTGGACACTTGGAAAGCATAGTAAATAAGAGACTTAGAAATGAGTGCTTGAAGCTGGTTCAAGCTGATGTTGGATATTAATATTCGGATTAGTTGAAAAACTCAAACATGAGAAGTCTAACAGTTATGTTTGAAGTCCAGTAAACTATGATGAGCATCTCAATTTCAACTTGCAACAATTACCTCAATTTATTTCTCTTTTCTTCGAATCACAAGAAGATATCTGAAGAAAGTAAACATTAAATGTAAAGTTCCAGTTTTGTTTATTCAACTCAACTTTAATTAACCTATGAGTAGTGTTGGTTTTAACTTTACTGGCTATGGATTATTATTTGGTCGAAGCATATAGGACGCCTTATTATTAGAAAGCCCTCACAGGATGGGTAAGAAAACATTTCTCATGGTTTTCTGTGATGTTTTTCATTTGCGACCAATGGTTATTCAATTTACAGACAAAAAACGAGATATACATAACAAAGCTTCTGTTCATCATGTAAAAAATATTATGCATGTTCCATAAATTTTGAAAGACCTTATTAAGAGTTAAGTGTATACCTTATACTTGTTTGGATAGTTTCTGGGGTATATGGTGGTTTTGTTGATCATATGCAAACACTAGTGGACTGAATTTGATCGGTTCAGAGTAATGCCAGTTAATAGTGAAGAAATCACGAATTAAGCATAAAATTCTAAACTTGTAAATTAGTCCGTGGCATTAGTATGTGAGAATTATCCGCGAGAACTGTTTTTCTAGTTGTGAGCTTTAAATTTGTAACTTGGTATTTAGACTAGCTGATGTTGAGACTTGAAAAAGCACCATGGTTTTGGTAGAAATTTTAAAAGTCGTCTAAATTTATCGACATTTTTGGTTCGACGAAGACGTCTTCAACATGTATTCTCAGTCATTACAGACTATAGACGATACAAGCGTTGTTAGCTCGTCACATATAAGGTGCGTTTTTGTTGATAGTATATAGGACAAGGTACACGTAAGGATATAAAAGATAAAAAAACGAAATGCCTCAAAAGCCGATCATAAAGTCATCTGATTGCACATAAACATGAATCCAAGGTGACATTACAACTGGAACTTAAATTATTAGAAATTACCTCTCGGTTGTTTTTGGTGTAAACTAAAATCTGCAGCTCCGGAAGTTTGTAGGAATCTCCATATCACTTTTTCATTCTAAAATGAATTTGGTTTAGATGTATTTGAACTACGCAGATAAAATTAATTACGTTTAATTATTGACTCTGGTCCTAACAATCGTAAAGTTCAAAATGTCTTACTTGTGTTGGAATCTTAGCAAAATTTAATTCATTGTTAATTTGTAGTTTATTTATTTATTATTTATTCAAACACATAAACATTGGTACAAGGAGGCACCAAGTAGATATGCGCCACATAAATCATTCGATTTGTGTGAGGTCTGTGATACTGACCGGGTGCCCAGACCAAAGCAGGTGGTTTTCTTAGCGAGGCCACACCCCGAGCCTTTGACCTAAAGGTCTGATCCACAAGGCAGTGGAGCATCGTAAGGAGATGCAGTCCCATGGTAGCCGGTGACCAACGATTGATTCATACGCCATTTGTTCCTTCAGGATACTGGAGCCCATGTGCACCATTGGTTTGGTTTGGTTTAGGATCCGGTTAAAGCGCTGGACATTCGCTTTTCGTCCTCTCATTTTCGTAAACAACACCCCCTGGTGCGAGAAGGCAGTGAATAGTACTTCTCTGGCAGAGGCTGTATACCCGTGGCCGTGTGAGAGCATTTCAAGAGGGAGAGCGGACTCTCCCATACCAGGGCATTTGGGCGCCGTTAATTTGTGGAATATTTGTTGGTAGCTATCTTCAAATTTTTCTTTAGGTACTTTGATAATGGCTAAAATCAAAGGCTGTGATTTGGGTTGATTCATTATATTTTTAGATCTGATAATTGTACCATTATTTTTAAGGACCTATATATTTGGAACATTTTTTGGTTTTTTGGTTTATGTCCTTTTCCCTGATGTACGCATCCCATTAGTAGCTGTATGCATGCTTCATGAAATGTCTGACGGTATTACCTAATCACAAAATACTTCTGATTATGGTTTTATTTTCAGCGACTACTGAACTAAAGTTGTGATTCAAAACGTTTCGCGCATAGAATATTTCTGAACTAGTTTGAGGGACGACTGGACAAACATCTTAGATTTCAGATTTACATTGTTTATTGAGGACAGAATCCTTATGGCATGTGTTATTCCCCTTTTATTAAACTCTTGTGAGTGTCTGACCTAGTTTTGCATGAGTCATTTGAAGATGCAAACACTCCTTCCGGTAGTAGGTCCCAAGAGTTTATGGCTTTGTGGGAAAATCTGTATACCATGCATATTTCGTTCGTTCTTGGTTTCTGAACTCGCCTACTATGTCCTTTGAGCCGTCCTGATCTTTTGGGAGGAAAATAAGAAGGTTCAAAATCATTTCATGCTGTTCTTTACATCAAAGTCAAATTACCTCTTGATCTGCAGTAAAACAGAGTAAAAAGGTATAAATTTCCAAAGAATCTTGTGTATTGTTACGATTACGAGTTCACCTAGTCTGCGAACGAAACAAAGACTCGGTGAACAAAGATCAGTGAGCTAGCTATTCTGATGCGTCCCAGACTCGCTAACTAGAGAGAGAAGTTCAAGTTTGAAACGGGGAAATATATTTCACAAGCAACCAGAAGCACGAGCGATCCCGACCAGTCCAGTCGGAAATACGCTCATTTATATATTGGTTTGTACGCCCATTTTTGATGAATAATCAGAAGTCACATATATGAAAAATACTTCATACAAGAACATCATATGTTATACAGAACAAAATGTCATAAGGGAAAACGAAACAAATACTATACTGCGCGATCATCAAATTGAATTAATGTTGAATAAAAATCATAATGAGTAATCAGTCTACTTTGACTTTTCATCCCGTCATAACAGTTAATCTTTGAATTTGCACGGATATCTGTTTTTCGTACTTCTAAGTTATGCGAGTCACATTGTAAACTGAGGCCTTTAGCCTGAGATTGGTTTTCAGGTTTAGATCTCACCAAGCTTGCGTATACCGTAGCCATCATACTTGTACCAACTTGAGAAATATCCATCTTAAGGCCTATATTCTTCCAAACTCCTTATCTCAAAACGCACGCCAGTGGACCATATTCTTGTGAATGGGGGTCACTGTTACCCCTAGATTATCATGTAACAAGACGGACATCTCCCTAATACTGTAGTTATTTACCTGTTTATCCACTGTGCATATAGACGCTTGTCCGACTCAATAGATATCAACCACAGTTTAGACCAGCTAAATGAAACGTCTATATCGGTCTTGAGTGCACATACATCTGTATTCCCCGTTACTTCTCATCGGATTTTGATGTCTTTAACACAAAATGGTATTAGGGGCACCAAAATATTCGAGAGTTCATTCAAGTACAGTACGAAAAGTAAAGGAACTACAGCTAAGCTTTGTGTTACTTCATTCCTGTTTTTTGTCGTCGACCTACCGGCAAGTTACTGATCCCTAGATTTGCCATCACCATAAGGAGTTTGCTACGCGTCACCTCACTAAAATACTTTCCGGAAGTCGGTTCAAACAACGTTCGTTGGTATTCCATTGTAGTCCTTTAGCTTCTGATTCGCTTCGTTTGCTGTAGTTTTCATAATTGTTCCTCTAATTTTCATCGATAGGTCATCGGAATAGGTAGGGTGTAAGCGGAATATTGATTTGAATAAGACACGTTCTGTGCAGAATTGTGTTAGTGCACTCTTAGTGGCTATTTCTTATCCAATCAGCGCTAGTGGATGCTTGAAGAAGACTCTGGAATGTTATGTAAAAACTATTAATATACTAACGTTTTTCCTAATGTGCTTCCTACGTCCATCTACCCTTGTTATTCGGAATATAATTTCGTTCCTGCTCTACCGTGTTCTGATTTGGGGACTTGTCGAGTCAAGTAGTGTCCAAGATTACTAAGCAATAGGAATAACTGGGTCATGACATGAGAAATTATAACAGGGAAATAAATAAAGTACTTAGTAAATCGTTTGATAACGTAAGAGGAGGTCATACTGATTCAACAAATAGCTCTCAATACTCTCTGGCGGAAATATTACATAGCTTACAGGAAGCTATCAGTGTCATATGCGATATATTCTGCTATATTTGTATAATTGGCTTACGAATATTTTTATATTAACGAATTATTTGAATATTCAAAGTAATGTTTTATTGCAAACCAGATCCAATCTTTTTAACTATTTAATATTCAAAATACGACTGAAGTTTTAAAATATTATTTACAAGATAGTTCTATGAAAATAATCATATTTGCTTTAAATGATAAATCATATAAGCTGAAAGCAATTATTGGGGCACTTGGTATCACCTCTCAGTTTGCGCAACGAATTTTCAACTGGCTGATTTAACTGTCAATAAGGACTCAGTAGCTAAGTGGGTAACGCGATGGTGTTTGGAGCAAGCGGTACTGGGTTCGAGTCCCAGAGTGGACATCAACTCTCGGATGCAGGTATATCCAACTGACGAGTCCTAAACAGGACTAAAAACGCGTCCTGGATTCTACCGCTAGCCATTATCCATCTTAGCCCATAAATACCCTGGTACGTACGAGGGTGAAGAGAGTCAGCTCTCCCTCTTGAAATGCCCTCATAAGGCCACGCGTATACAGCTATGGCCAGGGAAGTCACACTCATTGCCTTATCGCGGAGGGTGTGTTTAAGAAACTGAGAGGACGAAAAGCTAATGTCCGGTGCTCTGACCAGGTTGGTGAATATGGAGGATCCACCTAGGTGAGTGGGAAAACCCTGATTCCAAACCAATGGTGCACGTGGGCTCCAGTATCCTGAGTGAATAAATGGCGTATGAACCTATTGTTAGTCACCGGCTACCATGTGACTGCATCTCCCGACGCATTTCGTTGGGTTTTATTAGCATGGATCATTTTTGGCTTCAAGAGTAAATGCCTAGTTAAATCTTATTTATTGTCATTAGCTTATACAGGAGGCCTATGAAATTCAACATAACTCAGAAATATAAATTTTGCGAGTTTCCGGTAGTTCAGAATGTTGTAGCAAAATCACTTAGTACGTAGATTATGGGGAAACAACATACCTTCTACTAAGAGCTGTACGACAATTTGATAATTTTATTTAGTTAACCTATAGGTGCTGGTAAAAAATCCTTCAGGTGTGTGATACTCATAGCTTTATGCCGTGTCAGTGGAACTATTCGTCTTTCAACCACTAGTTCGTTGATTTGAAACCCTCTCCACCTACTTCAGTTTAATTCACTTGGTATTGTTTTACTTGAATCTTTCCATTGATGTTTTAGGACTGAAATTGATCAGTCTCTTATTGGCATATGTGCATACTGTGCGTATGCTTCGATATTGCCTTAATTTACAAGAGACTGATCAATTTCAGTCCTAAAACATTAATGGGAAGATTCAAGTAAAACAATACCAAGTGAATTAAACTTCACCCCATTACACAAGCAAGTGGTTATCATGACTCAATAGCTAAGTGGATAACGCGATGGCGTTTGAAGTGAACGGTACTGGGTTCGAGTCCTAGAGTGAACATCAACTCTGAGATGCAGGCACATCCAGCTGACGAGTCCCAAACAGGGCGAAACGCGCGTCCTGGATTCTAATGCTAGCCACTATCCATCTTTACTTATAATCCTACTTCAGTTTGTTCACCGGAGTAGTATCACTGGACCTAATATCTGAAGTGTAGCTTAAAGCCAAGCATAACAATCCGTACTCGGTAAACAAGTCATATTACTTTTAAATTTATGGATTATTTCAACATAAATCACTCCAGAGTATGATTCTGTGAGAATAGGGTTATAAGAACTGTCTTTATAGTTATTCATCTGTAAACAATTAGGCACCTCATCCTACGAAAAACAACATTATGACGAAATAGTTTTGTGACCGAATTCAAATTATTCATGGTTTACTGCATTAAATTCCAGATTTACAATGGAAAGTCAATCGTACGTTGATGTTTAAATGAAGCGATTTTGTATATCATGTTAGTTTTATGATTTACTCTATGTTGGCGGAATCTAGATCCACTTTAGCGATGATTCTTTGTCTGAATGTTTAGCAGCAATATTTTACCAACCAACTCTCATTATCAGATTTCCAAACAAAGTGGAAACATTCTGATAATTTAGGTGGCGAAAATGCTTGGTATCAACTACGTGAATTTCTTTCTGGCTAGGTTAATGAAGTTTTATCAGTAATTAAAATGGTTTAACATAAAAGTTTCCCTGTTAATTAACATGAGTTATTTTCTGCTTGCTGTTAAAGTATCCACTCTACATAAGCATACTAACTGGTTGAGCTTTAATGTTTTATCTCAGTACCTTTTGGCACCGAGGACGAAATAAATAGATCTCCACACTTCGTTGGAGTGATTAATACAAATCATACAAACCGTTACTCCGTTAGTGAAAAACTTTGTTGCTGAGATGTTAGGCGATGGATTATTGATCTGAGTTTTGTGGATAGAGATTATGTACTTGAGTCTTTTTCGGGTCTCACAGGCAACTGAAACTGGAGTGGGGGTATATCTACTTTGTTACGGCTAATGATGCTATTAAACTACAACAATCACACTATATAGGGCAGTTAAAAACTGTGATTGAGATCTTAAATAACAAGTGTCTAGACACTGCATGTGTGTACTTATTTTTTATCTTCTAAATACTCGCCCATCCTAATAATTTAGTTATGATTTAATGTAAAGAGTAACCTTTTGCACACAAGTCGGAATAATGATATGTACATAGTGTTGTCTTGTCACTTGCATTCTTGGCACTGGGTTTGTTTTCCACTATGAACAAGCAAAAATTTCTAACATATGTGAAGGTAGAGTACTTACCATAGTAAATAAAATTTGGCAATACACTCGAAAGAATCGTATGAATAAATGTATATTCCAGTAAATATGGAGATATTTTCATGTCAATGGTACACAAAATTATAATAGCATGTCTGAAAGTAATAATAAACTGAAACTATTTCATGAATATCTAATTTATGGAAGTAGACTTTTACAAATGACAGAGAAATAGAGAATATAAGGGAGATATAGATGCACCAGACCGTTTATCGAATTGACGCTGGAGATTTCAGTACCCTGTTTACTGAGCGGCAGATAAGGGTTTAAAACAAACGACGCTCAGTCATTCAGTTGCAAACTGGGATACCAATCAGTTTATTTACCTAAGTCATCTTATTATTACTTCTACTTGAGTGCACATACCTAATGTTGGTTAACACGCTGCTTCGATTCAAACTTTTACAAATGAAATTTATAGCTAGTGATTTAAAACTTTGTTTGATTGTAATTAATTAGTAGTTTCACTAGAGTTGTTTGAAAGATTAGTATTATCTGGATTTATAAGTATAGACGAATTGCGTGAATTTAGCTAGATCCGGTTGTTTCAGTTATCATTTTGGGCTGTAAATGTTTCGTTCCTAGGTTAGATTTGAAGTGCTTGTTATTATTTTGGCAATGATGTAACTAGTTTACCAAGTACATGTTCGTGAACTCGATTTCAAGGCACGTTTTGTGCGGAGTTTACTATCACCTGGTTGCCCAAATAAATGCAGAGTGAGCGGGACTCACATCTGCGACCTAATGGTTGAAGTTTTAAAGGCTAAAATTACTAAAACATTGCTCTAATATCCAGTTATCTAAGATTTTTATTGATAGTGTCTAACTAGTTTGGCAACCAAAATTATATCATAAATAAATCAATTCACATTTCTGCAGAGATAGTTACATTGAGCACACTATTGGGCAACTTAGCCAGGGAGGTTCTTAGCGTATTCCTACTTTTTTTTTGACAGAAGTCAAATAAACTTGCTAATCAGCGTTGTTGATAAAACGTTGTATTTGCTGCTTAATCAATTAACTACAGTTATCTCGGTTGGGTATATATTGACAAAATGTCATTTGTTTGAATATCTCACTGCTATTTGTTTGATTGCAAAAGTTGAATGAACTTTATTAGTCAATATGTATGACAATCTTTTAGTTCTGATTTTCTCATTACAAGAAATCAGTTGGTTTTAGTGAAGCCTAGTCAAACACACTGAAAACAGCTTAGAAATTTACATAAGTTACATTGGTCTAACTTCTAGTAGGATATTGCTAAAAATGCAGAATTCCTTAACGAAATATTCAGTCATCTTGTATAGCTCTAATTCTTTTTTAAAGATAACCATAAAATCAAATCAAAACGTGTGTAACATAACAAACAAGTACCAAGATTTTTTTTTACATCATTAAGTAGAAATAAGGTGAAACAAGGAAAAGTTTCGATTTCTTTATTTTACTGATCTATAGACACATGAATCTTACTTTCAAAGGCCATTCATAGACATCGTTCCACTATTACATTTACTACTGTTATTATTAACAATAATAATTCATTTCAAATGTATAATCAATTAACTTTTCATTTATCTCACTGTAAACATCTCTAACTCGTCAAATGTTTATGATTAGAAAATTTCGGTTACTTTTTATATTCTTATCCATTTACTTTTAGTCCGGTTGCCATAGTAACGATATTTTACATCATCTTGATAGGTATTGAGTAACTATAGTACTAAGTAATTAATTAATGTATTATTCTTATTGATTAAGCTGATTATAAATTTCCTTTAAAGATACTTTTTTAAAAATTTTATTTCGATTTTTGTTTTATTGTAGTTAAAGTTTATTGTACGGTATGTCATAAACGATGTAAAGGTGATGTATTGAAAATTGAACAACAATTTGTTCATTACAAATGTTTTCAATGTATCAGTAAGTTAAATAATTTCCAAAAGAAAATTTGTAACCATATTTATTTTGAATAGAATGTCGTAAAAATTTAAAACAAGGTGGATTTTTTGTTAAAGATAAAAATTTCTACTGTCCAAATGATTATCAAACAGAATTTGGTGTAAGATGTGAAACGTGTCATGGTTATGTAGAAGGTGAAGTTGTTACAGTATTGGGGAAAACATTTCATACTCATTGTTTTCGTTGTACAACATGCAGGTTCGTTTCACATTTCATTAATATTCATACATAAACCTTCATTTGCTCGTTATTATTTTTTGATACAAACGCTTAATCGGTGAATGTTTTGTTTTTTCAACTAGACATCATTGTCACTAGAGAGTATTTATGGAAACTGATTTCATGTACAGTATTCGTTGACCGTCTGGCCATAATCTGAAGCGATTATAGAGTAAAGCTTGATTCATTTGCCTTTTATTTCATGCAATCATTAACCAGAAATACAACAGTATAATTTTAATAAATTTATTGGAGAATTCTTATTGAATACAATCTTTTCATTCATTTTTATCATTTGTACAAGTGGCAGATGTTAACAAAACTACACCTTTCAGCTTACAGTCTTTCTGCAATACAATATCCAACTAACATCGGATGTAAAGATAGACCCAGGATACGTTTGTGAAAATAATTTTCACGAATAAATTAAAATTGTTATTGTTGAGATCATGAACTGATCAATTTAAGTCCTCCTTTGAAAACATGGAAGCACTGGATGGCCGTTTCGTCTTAGTATGAGACTCCTCGGGATTCGAACCCAGAACCTTCGATCTCGTGCGAACACTTAACGTATAGACCACTGGACCGGCATCCAAAGATGTTAATGTCTAGTCTCAATCAATCCACCATGTTGCATGGCCATCTTCCAGTGTCTTTGGTGGTTAACTGCCTCATACCCGACGCGATTGCACTCCGCTGGCTCACATCACTGTAGTGTCGTCTAGTGACTGTTTTCATCAGTAGGAAGTTAAAACAACAGTGCGAAACAGTCTATTTCATTCTTACGAACTGTTCAAGACAGTGATATATGATCATACTCTGACTTCCAAGTTTGAAGAAATAATAATAAGTTACTTTTCATTTTATTTACTGTCATAGAATGCCTGCTATTGTTAAGTAATATAATTTTCGCTTTTAAGGTTCAACTGACCAGTAGCGTTTTGCCGCCTTAGTTTTTTTAAAAATCAATTTTCTATTTACTAAAGTTGATTTCAGTATAATTCAATAGTTCTCATGCGATGAATTATTTTCATGGCTCCAAGCATAAGATGATGTTATTATTGGTTGAAAAACCAGCAATACAGAACAGTTAAAGTGATCATCTTACTAACTGACGTTTTGTAGAGTATAAAACAATAACCTTGCGACAACTAAACGAGTAGTAAATATACACAATAACCAACGGCATAGAGTCCTATTATCATGCTGTAATTAAAGCTTTCAATCAACTAGTAGTACAATGAAAATCCAACAGGCTTTATTAAATATACTGTCATAAATCGTGTCCACCTTAATTCCACTATAAAGAAAAAGTTCGTATATATGCCTTAGAGTCGTACTATGAGCGATGTTGATACTATACAGTTCCCTAAAATAAAGTAGATGGAGCCTGATAAAATCATGCAAATTACTGATTAAAAGCTGAGTGAATTAGCCACTTGATCATCGTTCCACAATTCTGTCTGTATTTACCAAATCAGCATTTAAATTAGTGGATCATGAAAACCAATAACTAGTCTCATAGCATGACTCTAACTGAGTTAAGAAGGTTGTATAGAAAGGTGAATTCATTTTATATCAAGATTATTTTTACTGACTTTTATGATCTAAGTATTTTACACACATATGTGGTGTTTATATTTTAAACAAGGACACTTTTGAAATTGATACTAGATATTTCGTTTCCAGATTTTTTCTGTTGCAACACCAGTGAACATATTAGATGAAATGATCAATTATAAGATGTATTTTATACAAGTAATTGATGTGAATAGTTCCTTTTAGTAATTGCTTATTGTGTTAGTAATTTTAGTGTGTACTTAAATGCTTTGTATCATTTTTTTGTGTTTTATCTTTGTTTTTACTTCAGACGTTTATTCAATTCAGGTGAACGGACCACCATCGTGGATGGATCTTATTATTGTATGTCATGTTCATCAAATCTTACAAATGGTGATGTACTGCATAAAACTGTCGATGGTAACGCACGTGATAGTAGTGCTGCGGCTGCTACTATTACCAATGGATCGAATGGTGTCTGTTCTACTTCATCTTCTCCATCATCTAATTCTGCTTCATCAAAATCAGATCACTTTAATCCATTATCGTTGTCAACATCTGGTCATCAATCACAAACATTACCTACAATAAGAACTTCTCCCACTTCTACACCAATACATCATTCAGTTAATCATACTGACGGTAATAACACTCAAAATCATAATCATTATCAACAAAATCTCATTTCTGACGCTAATCTTAAATCATTTACATCTCTTAATGATCAACTTAGTGTACAAATTCATGAAAATGGATGTTCAAGTAAGTTTGCTCTTGAGCTTTTATATGATTAGTATACAAACAAATTTTATTTTCTGGACTACTTTATTTTACTGTGAAGAGCGATCTAATAAAACTGTTTAAGAATTATTAATTCCGCAATATGGATATACATTAGTTTAAGTTTCGGTGGAGTAAAATTATTCATCTATTATCCTTGATGTAGAATATCGTGCAGGATATAAACCTCATATACCCTCATCTAAAGTTATTTTCTCTAATTCCTGAACACTACAGGTATTCTTATTATTGTTCTGATGTATGATTTAGTCACTTGAACAAATATGATAATTGAATACCGTATTGTTACTGTCAGATAGTCTTGAACCTAGACTTTTCACTGGTTTGTATTCATTATCAAGGTGTATCTCAAGTTTTAACAAAGATATTGATACTTTCTATGGGATTCAAACCCATTTTACTCCTTATCAAAATCAAAGGCGTTACAACTGAGCTATTCACTTAAATTAATTAACTGGTCATGTCATGTGAAAAATAAACATAAGATTTGACTATGTCAGCATATTCGTTGAATCTATTCACTCTTTATTACTATTGATTAGTTAAGACATGTGATCAGTCAAATATAAATTTTTGGAGTACAGTGGGTTCAGTAAGTATTGAGTATTTTAGATCCAATATTTATGTGTAAACTGCATAATCATGAAAATATAAATTACATTACTGTTTGTAAATGTTTTCCAAAATGTATAAAACGTGAAATAGCCTTTTTTGGATTAAATAGGCGTTAGTAAGTAAATAATTTGCCATTTAGTTAGTTTACAAGTTAGTTCGATATTCAAATGTAGAACGTTGTATATTAGAATGAAGCAATGACTTTAAAAAAATCATTAGCTTTGAATAATTTTTTCTGGTTAGCATTTTTTTTGGCGAGTTAGTTTTCTACGGGATGGGGTCGCTAACCCCATGCCCAACCCTTCTCCTTTATCTGGGCTTGGGACCGGCAGTAGCCCCCGGGAGGACTTCAGGTGGAGTTTTAAAAAAAATAGTATTCATTTACATTAAACAATACGATTTACAGTTGTTGGAACTTCTTATTTTGTTTAAATCTATGAATGAAGCCAATGTGATTGTGACTTATTTTACCTTTAAAAATGAGTTCTTTTTCAAGATTGAATATGGGTTAATCAAGCATAGCAATATGATTAATCCAAACTTGCTTCATATTAAAATAATAATTGGTTTATTGTAAACTCGTGTACTTGTTAAAAGATGGAAAGAGAAAGGTTGTAAGGCGGTAAAATAAAATTGACTTAACTGATTGAACATGTAATAGTTTCTATTTCGGATTGACGGTTGTCGTTTAAAAATGTTTACTCTAACTAATCAACTGGTTATCGACAGTATATCGGTTTACATACATCTTATTTCCAGTAACTGATTCATAAATTTTCAAATAATACTCTTAGCAAAATTTAAAAGGGCAAGTGATATTACAAGTTGTTTTTGCACAATAAATATATTTCACCACTTAACACACAGTCATACCATTTAACATACCAAAAATTAAAGCTCAAATTAAAGGTTAAAACCCTCAGCTAGTGTAATTCATAAAAGTATATTAGATAAAGCAATATTATTTCTATGAACTATATCGATAACTACTGGTTTTGACCATCTCACCGATGCTACCCAAAAATTCCTTAAGCTTTTCAGATTGTTGAGGAAAGCAATAACAGGCTTGAAAAAATAGTGTGAATTCATTGTGATCACAAAGGATTGCAAATAAATTCACTTATGTATTTTCAATCCATCTTATAAGTTTGGTCTTCAAATATTTCAGGTTGTCAGCAATTGATTAGAACCTGACCAACATAACACGAGTTCATATTATTCTGCTCAAATCTTTGTTCTTGCTCTCTCCAAGATATTAAAGACGATTATGAATCTAGTTTTCAATTTGTCTTTGATCAACAAACAATTAATCTAAGAAAACCCAACTGTTACTTAATCTAATCCCTCAAAATCTTATTTCATCCTGAAAATGATACATCATAGTGAACAGGAGTTTGTTACACTTGTAACACACTGTTTACTTTGATATGCTTTAATAACTTGTATGAGAGTAAATTGGAAAAAAGCTAAGGACGACCAAACCAAGATGAGATATCAAGATATCGGCTGTCGGATTGATGTTTTTAATACTTCAAATGCTTTGGCGTTTGTCTTGATAATTTCATACTACTCACTGCCTTCTCGCAGCGGGGAGTGTTGTTTACGAAATTGAGAGGGCGAAAAGCTAATGTTCGGCTCATTAATAGGGTTGGTGAATATGGAGGATTCACCTAGGGGAGTTGGAAAACCCCAATTCCAAACCAATGGTGCACATGGGCTCCAGTATCCTGAGTGAACAAATGACATGTGAACCAATTATTGGTTACCGGCTACCATGGAACTGCATTTCCTTACGATGCTCCACCGCCTTGTGGACCAGACCTTCAGGTCGAAGGCTCCGGGTATGGTCCCCTAAGAAAACCAGTTGTTTGGGTTTGGGAACCCGGGCAGTATTACAGCCCTCACACAAATCAAATGAGGTTTGTGTGGCACATATGTATTTGGTGCCAATGTTTATGTGTTTAAAGAAATAAATAAATTCATCGTACTGTGCTTACTTGATGTGACATCTTTAACCTAATCCTATATGTTACAAGTTTCGCTATGTTTATGACTGGCTTAAGGAATACATCGTTTATCTTATTTATAACAAACTAATTTGACCAAATTACTCATAATTCTTTCAGTTTTATTTGTTTGATTACTTTTCAGTTCCTGGCAGTGAATACCATAAACAGAAGTTAGAAGTAAGTTAGCTAACTTGTTTTTTATTCAGTATTTCATTTTCATTTATAAGTATATAACGCCTCCACTAATCGCTACGAGATCTAAAATGACTAAAATCAATCCTATATGAGGTTATGGATGCATATTACCAAAGGAGAGTTAGTCATAAACTGTGATGAAACAATGTTCAGTCAGTTCTGATTGATTTTCACTGTGTTTTTTTTCAATCGATTTAAACAGAAACGTTTTTAGTTACTCAGGGTAACAGTTTTCATTTAAAATGATACATCATTTATTTTGTTCATGAACATTATTACTTGACCGATAATTCTATTTGTTTATCATAATTCACTCTATTCATAGAGTAGTGTCCTTTAAATGTGAGTATGATGAAATTATACAGATTAATTATAGAAGATGAATATCTAATCTTTGAATAATCGAATTGATTACTGACTTAAAAGAATCTATTCCCTTTTATATTACTAATCAAATCTATGGTAGAGAATAATAAGTGATTATCTAATCATCTCTAGGGATTATTTACACAATGTATTTATTATATTCTACAAGTATATATGTGATAATCCATACACATTTACGGACAGATTATTATTATTATTATTGCTACTACATGAAAATTAAACGAATGATTAGGTTTCAGATGAATGTGGTTTAAATTGAAGATAAGGTTAGAACGTTTCTCTAATTAAGTTTGTAAAAATTGTTCACTGAACGAATTGAGTTGTTGTTGTTTGTTTCTGTTACAAAGATTTGGACTGAACTAGCGATGTTGAATTCACTGAATGATGTGAATGTCCTCAAAAATCTATCAGAATATTAATCATTTAAACTCGTTGAATAAACAATAATTGTTACATTACACAGTGGATTAGTGAACGCAATCGTAGCGTTTGAAATGAGGAATACTGGATTTGTGAAATTTTAGCATTATTATTATGCAAATGAATTCAGCAAATGAATTTCAAATGGTGCGAAACATACATGATAAATTTAACTAGTAGTTTCTGTCTAAGTGTATTTATCATCTGATATACTTAAGTTATGTAAAAGCTTCTTTCTTATTAATTGTAATTTCTAAATAAAATATAACTCAAAACATAAGTAGAATGTGAAAAATTTTGCCTCAATTTCATTTGATCATCGTATTTAATACTTTGATTTATCTCATTTCATCTAGTAACTACTTCATTATGATAATTAAAAGTATTCGAATAAATTTGCTAATTAAGAATACCCGAAATAGTGCAATTTAAGCCAGGTTTTTTTTTAATTTTATGTTAACACATAGATATTGGTAAAAGGAAGCACCAAATACATATGCGCCACACAAACCTCATTTGATTTGTGTGAGGGCTGTAATACTGCACGAGTGCCTAAACCGAAACAGGTGGTTTTCTTAGGGGACCACACCCGGAGCATTCGCCCTGAAGGTCTGATCCACAAGGCGGTGGAGCACCGTGAGGAAATGCAGTCCCATGGAAGCCGGTGACCAACGACTGGTTCACATGCCATTTGCTCACAGTCAGTCAGTAACAACGTAGAACTTCGTACTTACGTACATCAGTTCGAGTTGCCACACCACATTAGCACAGAGATGCAGTTGTCGATTCAAATCCCGTAGTGGTAGAGGTAATAAGAGTATAAGCAGTAATCGGGAAGATTAGGGTTTGGAGATCTTATTTAAAGATTATAATCCAGTGAAATAAATTTGGAAAGAGGAAAAGAGGGACATGAAGAATTCAGAAGATTAGAATTTGGGAGAACACAGAGAGTGGATGCACCTGCGCCATTGCAAACGATTTTGAGCCATGTCATTCAGGGTCTCTAACCATCGGTTGCTATCATCTCGCGGTCCCCAACCAGGTAGTCTACACCTACCAACATGACTCAGTTCACTTGTCAGTGACTTCATGGACTTGTGCCATGTTTTGGTTTGGCCGCCTCTAGCTTTCTTCCAACCTACTCCTATACCACTGAACATCGCACGTCGAGGCAGTCGGTCGTTGGGCATACGTAACACGTGTCCGAGCCATCTCAACTGATGAGGTTTCACTACTTCATCAATTGATTTGCCATCCTTACCTAGTACCCGTTTCCTAACAACTGCGTTACTTACTCGATGGTCCCATGATATATGAGCAATGTTTCGAAGACACCTATGATCAAATACTAGTTATCTATGGATATCCTCTACTCTTACCGGCCATGTTTCACTGCCATAAAGTAGGACGGAACGAACTGCTGCGCAGTAAACACGTCCTTTGGTTGATAGACGGATATCTCGCCACTTGCTCACTCAGGATACTGGAGCCCATGTGTACCACTGTTTTGGAATTGGGGTTTTCCAACTCCTTTAGGTGGATCCTCCATATCCACCAACCCGGGTTAAGCGCCGAACATTAGCTTTTCGTCCTCTCAATTTCGTAAACAACACCCCCTCTGCGATAAGGCAGTGAGTGTGACTTCACTGGCAGAGGTTATATAAGCGTGATCATGTGAGAGCATTTCCAGAGGGAGAGCGGACTCTCCTCACCCTCGCCCGTACCAGGGCATTTGGGGACAATTTAAGGCAGGTAGAACTAAAGGAGCACAAATGAACGTATTATATTTTTAATTAGTAATTAGCTGGCCATCAAGTACAAAGGAATCATTAGTTCGTACAAATAGCGCATTCATATAGTTTCAATTACCAAATTGTAACCAAAATATGTCTATTTGAATGTTAATTACCGAAAACGTATTATGTAATGATGCTTTGACAGATTGTAGGTATCATTACTAAGGTTTTATTTGATAATTTCGAATAAATTGAGCATTGGGTTGATTGTTATAAATAAAAATAATATATTTGTAATATCCCAATGAGTAGAAAATTAGATTTTCTGACGTTTCGTGACTTAGTGTAAGTCACTTCTTCAGAGAATAAATAACCAAATTAAAATTAATCCAAGTTTAAATAGTACAACGGAACAATTTTTTGTTTATTTTGACATATTGTTCACTAGGTCACTTTAAACATTGAAAATAGAGTGTTGCTCAATTTACGACACTACATTTTTCTGTAAACTCATCATGTGTTATAGTACCTTGTTAAAACTGTATATTCACTGTATGTGAAGACTGTTTTTAAATTCAATTCAATAATTCTCTTTCGAATACTTTGTTCTAATTTTCGTACATAATTGGGCAAACATGTATTATTTCATTTCTATTTAGTGAACATTAGCCATTACACAAAATATCTGACTATTATCAGAAGATGGTTTGTGGAGATTTTAGTAATTTTATAGTTGAACTCATGAGTCCATTGAAGTCTAACCACCATAGAAAACCTAGGAGCATCGGACGGAATCTCGCGGGGCGGCATCGTGGACGTGCACTGCCGAGGAGTTCCATACTAGGACGAAACGCCCGTCCAGTGCTTCCAGGTTTTCCTTGGTGGTCTAGCCATAATTGACTCATGAATTGAACTATAAAATATCTGTCTTAATCATTTTATATCATCTTCCAAAATTTCTTACTTTTCATATCCCCTTTTCCGATTAATTTTGTTGTTTGTTATTAAAATACAACTCTATATACGTTTAGAATGGTTACACAGATAGTAAGATGACTGAAAACATTTGTAATATGAATAATGTAATACATTATTTGTTATTATCCAGTGGTTGTGTATACTGTAATAGTTTCTATATGCATATGCTCATCTTTATTCATATATAGTGTGACTAAGTGAAAGGTTATATGTGAATTGTTCACTAATCTGTTTTTAAACTGCATAAGAATTTTTTTTGAAAAATCAAAGTATGTCTTAGTTGTCTGGTCATGTACACGTAAATAATTTACATGGATGTATCTAAGTTTCTCTTGATAACATATACATCGTTTGTTTTTATAAAAAAATGAAAGACACATATCTTCGAGTAGAGGAGGTGAATACTACAATTTACTTGGATAACAATTACAAAATGGTTAATTATTTTCATTAACAATTTCTGCATGAAATTCACAATACACATAGTAGACCGTTGGTTTTTTTGATTTGATTACATAAATACATGCAAACCATTGTTTTGGTCAGATCAAGTTGAGCCAATCTACTTGAATGTTAGTACACTAAATTGCAAAACACACGGAAAAGTAAATTCACACTTCTATAAACTAATACATAAAATATATATAAATACATGTCTATGTAATAATCGGATTAGTTTGACCCAGCATCAATGACACGTTTTGACGGATTATTATTATTCACATGTATTGGTATAATAGTACTGTGACCTACTTTATTATTTTTAAATACAAAATATGAATAATCATTTTTTGTATGCCAAAGATGACCAAACCAATGATTAAACAAATGATCATTAGTATCACTCGGCTGGTTTTTGGTTAATCGTAAGTTAAACGTAATGGATTAAAATATAAGGTTTCTAGTGTCTGTCTGATTTATTAGTTGATGGTAACTCACATCATGAATCAATGTTCGAATTGCCTTACGTTATTGGTAAAGACAAGAAGGATGAGAGATGGTCGGAAAACAGTCGCTTTTTTTTAAGTATAAAAATAATAGTAATACTAATCTTCACAGTTTCAGGTCACAAATTTATATCAGCTAGACCGCCTTCGGAAACCTGAGAGCACAGGTCGGTTATTTAGTGCTAGTATGGGACTCCTCAGCAATGAGCATCTGCGAATTTAAACCAGGACCTTCTGCCTTGCGCGCAAACTCATCCTCTATACCACTGGGCTTCCTACGGTTTTACTGTCTAATTGCGATCAGTTCATGATATTACGGAACCCTCATTCACGGCTTTCAGGTTCTCAATGATCATCTAGCCATGATCAGTTCATGATTCAAACTATGGAAATACCATAGTCGCCACGAATTCCCTATACTAATCATTACTTAGTCTCTAAGCTTTTGTACTTGTGAGTGAATGATAATGTTTTAAACTATGGCGTCAGATTGTGTTTTAATTTATTCAAGGTA